CCAGATCTTTCCACTTACCTACTAAATTTGTCAGTACTTGAAAGTATTCAGTGCCCGAACCACGCTCTGAAGATGACCCACACGTTTAGTTTGAAACGTTGGCACAAATAAAAAAGATTTTTTTTTTAAATATTGCGTCCTGAATATTTATCATCCATAATTAATTTATAACTTCTCAGAATTTTCTCCAAATTCAACGTTAGAACAACCGTTGAAGAACTGAATTGCTGCTCTCCCAACTCATATCAATAACTTTTAGATTTTATTTCTTTGTAATATAGAAATAAAGAAAAACTCAAACTTTTTATTTTATATCTTTAGTTCTAGTTTGTTTAATTCCTATAATTTTAATTTATTCTTTTCGTAATTTACAGCAATTACAGAATTTCAGTGATCGAAATTGCTTCTAATAATTTTTTTTAGATTTTAATAACATATTTGATATTACAAACGTCATTATTCTAATAAGTAATTTGCACGTGAAGTTATAACCCGTGGTACAGACCCCTTTTTATCAAATTATTAAAATCCGCCTGAAACTTCGTAAATAGCTTCATCTTCTCGTAACCTACAACTATTATATTTACGAATACTCTCGGAATTGAGGCGTTTTAAATATGGAGGTCGGCAAACTGTGCCTAGTTAATTAGGTACTAAAAACTCCTTCATACCCATTTGCTTTCCATTTAAATCGTAAGATATTTTGAGTACAAAGTCGGGGAAAAAAGATGGCCTCCATAAATATCGAGGCGTTTGGCGTGACCTACACTCCCAAAATGTCAAAATAACGAGGTTACATAAGCCAAAGGGGCCAATATTTCGGTCGGCCAGTTTTTTCTCGAATTTGTAATAAAATTATCTAACGATTCAAGTGGAAAGTAAATGGGCATTTACGAGTTTTTAGTATCTAATTAAATAAATAGACACAATTTGCCGACTTCGAGATTGAAAACTCCCCAATTAAAAGAGTTTTCGTTTCTAAAATATTTGTAGGTTACGATGAGATGAAACTATTCAAGAAGTTTCAGGCGGTGCAGTGCACACCCGTTTGCTCATTCGGCCACCCCGCCCACCTGATTAGAAGATGAAAATTTGTTACAAACTTTTTCATTTTCATTTGTATTTCAGGGGTTTTGAGAACCTAAAAGCGTCATTCAACTTTGATTCTCCCTCCTCCCTATAAACAAAAAAAAAAATTTCTATTATCAACGTTACATGTTAACAAGTTAGTTGACGTTTCAGGAAATGTATTCCCATCTTCGGAACTGCAATCCCAATAATCTTGTGGATGCAAGGTTTAAAAATAATAATAATGTGCTCCATCGTCAAATTTCTAATACATGTTCTAAATGTATCATCTAGAGCAACATCCTGCTTTTGACCAATAATTTGGTATCTGCCATAGACAACTTCCCAGAAAAAAAAAAAAAAAATTATTTGGATCCGGAAGTTCCCATCGTCTAGAATATTAATAGTAGACTATTAGACTATTATATTTGAAGTACAAACTCTTTATTTGATGTAGCAACTTCAGGTCTGTAGCATTCTACCACCCAGAACCAATAGGCAATGGTCTTTTTAATTAATATTTTTTACTTTCCTTTATCTGCATGTGGTATATATTCTTACTTTCTATAAATTACTAAAACTAATTTTAATTACTGAAATTCTAGAATATACCATCAATTACAAAATAGTTATATTTAGATTATATTTCTAAATGTGAAAAATCTACCTAATTCACAGATTTTTTCTCAGGATTAATCATTATTTATACAAGTAAGCGTTGAATTTATTCGTTTATTTTCGGACTACCACAAGAGAGACGGACAGTTGATTGGCTGGTCCATTTGGAACGAGGTCAGAAATAAAAAGAACTTTTAGGCGACGAAATTGGAAAAATACATGCCCAAACGATTAGCGGATTAACACTAGTTTAATTGCCTCAGCATCTGCTCTTCATTAGAGCCAGATAGGAGATTACTAGAACTGCACATGTTTCCTTGAGGGTTTAAATTGGATGAATTGCACCCCTCAATTTGGGCTCAATTCAACAAGATTCATGTGCTATTTTTGTAAATGAAGTGAATTAAAACGGGTGTCGAGTACATTGGATATTAACTGAATCAATACTCGTAATCCTTTACAACTTCCAATAATATATCCAACAACAATTGGTCAACAATATATCCATCAGTACGATGAGACGGTTTGGATAGTTTTAAAAATATGAATTAGATTAAATTAAAATGCTAATTATAAAAAAGACAAGCAAGTACCTTGTACTTTTCTAAAGAAATACCCCTCTTTGAAATATATATAAAGACCTATATTAATCATTTAGTTTTGTTGGGTAAAGATGCTGCATACACCTTCGAATTTTTTCTTTTATAATTATTAATTTATTCATCCATTTTTATATTAATTTAATTGACACATTTTTGTATTATTATTTTTAGGTATGCATATTATTTTTTTTCCTTTTTATATATGCTCATCGGCTGTTCAATTTAACCTTCGTCTGCTGTATTTACAATTGTAATTTTTTTTTATAACACTAGAGGATACCCATCTTCCTCCCCCGACCGCTTAACGGCTGACCAACCTCCATTTTACAAATTATATAACAGTTCAATTAATTGAACTACTTCTTTTTCAAATTGCATAATTGTAGTATACATGTATTCTGTGATTCAGATTGTATTATTTTTTATCAAAGTAAAATAAACGGAACGAAATCCCAGTTCAATTTTCTAAAAAATCCATATTATATATCGTGCCTTATTCCCAATTTGTATTATTATATAATTATAATTATTCTTATTGTCAATTTGTAACTATAATAAGGGAGAAATAACTCTGAGAATAAGAATAGTCTGGTGTCTTCGTTACGGTCCGTTACGCTTTGTATATATATAATAAAAAATATATACACGGTCACTAAGTACCCATCTCCAGCGATCCAGGAACAGAGACATCTACCAGGAGGTCCAACTATCCTCGGTCCCGGAATTCATTGGCCGGAGGCACATCAAATTTATTAATGGGCTGAAGGCCTGTGCAAATCCATTATTCCAAGAAATCGCCCGACTTGGAAGGTGGCAAGGCAAAGTCCCCCTGGTAGATGTCCTTGAAGAAGGAGAGGGTTAGGACTCGGCAGTCTAAACCCTCACATTTTGTACCTAGTTTGAAAATATAATTGTAAATATGTAAATAAATCCTTATCCCTATCCTTTATGAATAAAAGCAGGGCGGTCCCTCCACGCGCGGTGATGAAATTAAGACCTAATTAGGCCACAGAATGTATCCTATGCTTACCGTATAATCAGTCATTTACCTTAAAATACCCTTGGGTAAGCAAAGGTCAAATGAATATTACACACTTTATATATTACACACAATATTAATATACACTTATAGTTGTATATTGTAATTAGTCTTAAATAAAGTTTTTGGGGGGTCAGAAAAAAAACACGGTCACTAAAAACCTTGTTATATAATAGACAGTTTATAAAAGAAATAATATTAAATTTTATGCTATAGTTTTTAAATAAAGTGTTCAAGCTTTAAATTATAGTTTATCATATTAAATTTTTTATAATGAATTACAGTTTGTTTTTTTAGATTATTATAGGATACCTTCGATGTGGCTACTAACTTTATTGTTCCACTAAGATTGTGATTTTCGTTAGAAAAAATTCAAATAATTATTTGATCCTGCCGCTAAAAAGAAAAAAAAACTAAGTTTGCTCCAATTTCAGTTGTGAGCTTGTTGAATTTTCTTTTAGTTCGTTAAAAATAACTCATAAATTATACAAAGAAAAAATCACTTCGTAGCGTAATTTGTTATATATACTCTAGCTGGTTTATTTTTTTAAACGTACCATGAAAACATTATAACCATTTTTAGCTTTATCTGATTTTAATCTAACAATAGCCCTTCAGAGGTATAATAAAAAAGGTGGCAAGTTGCAAACTTTGCCATTAAATTTGTTGCGTTTCAGTTCGGAGAAACATTCAGAGAACAAGAGAAAAAAAATGGAAATCCCACACCAAGTGTAATTGTACGTGAACTAAAATTTTTATAATTATACTTTCGTTTACTCCGTTTTTAAGACGAGATCAATACATTTTCTTAAGTGAAATTAAGTGAAATCGACTTTAGGAGGATGAGCACCATTTTTGTCCTTTGTTTTTTTTATCAAATTTTAATTCCCTACGTATTCTTTTGAAGATATTTTAGAGATATATTTTTGTTACGTGAATATTACATATATTTCCCCTTGTCCCTTGGTTTGAAACATTCCATTCCGAAAATTTCAAAACCTAGTGGAAATGTGCTCCCCCAAATATTATAAATCCCGTCAAAATGAGTTCCTCTCAAAACTTTTGGGGGCGCAACTTCCACCATGAAGCTCTATTAAGGACACTCCTGATTATAAGAAGACAGCTCTTTGACTCTGTATACGAAGAAAATCCTGTTGAACTGTATCAATTATGCCTTATTCAGAAAAATCAAAAGCTAATTTATATTGGTGGCAAACACCATAATTCACTTCCATCAACTTCTTTTTTATAATTCTCCTCGGAATTCTCCAATTACTAGACAGTTCCTGTTGAAAGCGTTTTATATTCTTCTATTCGTTATTTGAATAGAAGATTTCAGCCTGTACATTATTTTGACTCCTTAAGGTAAGCTCTTTATGGTTTGCTGAATTATAGTTCCTCAGTATGGGAATCGTCCTCTACAATTTCCGTCAAAAACCAATCCTTCTTGCAAACTGTTGCACTAGCAAAGAAGAATAACTACGGTGTTGCTCCTTACTTGAAAAACCGGAATTCGGATCTCATTGACCTCTTGCGTGCCCATTTGTGGTATAGCCGATTATAAATACCAATGTAATTCCTCGTTTTAATGATATATAACTTTAATATAATGTGATATTATTTATTTAGTTGTTTTTTTTTAGATTGTGAAATAACATTTATTTGTATTTTTTAGGTTTCGGAATGGTTAGAGTTAAAAGTTCTGGAAGTCACACCCGAGTTGACTCAGTTGGGTTCGACCCTGAAGGAAGCTGAAGAACTCAGACGGTCTCATCATGAAGTCATCAGTAAAATACAGGTACTTAGCATAGTATTAAGTGAGAGGGATTACAATAACACTGAGCTATGTAACCGTATTGAGATGTGGCAAGATTTAAATATCTGAATAAGAATTATAGCGGCATTAATGTGGACATAGTGTGGATTAGTATATCTGTAGTAAGGATAACTAGCGGGTTTCTTATACATTTTGAGCCTCATATATAGCCTCAATAGTAGCCAAGAATCGTGGAGGGTAAAAAACAGCAATGCAGAAAAGCTCATGATAAGTAACTATAATAATGATAAGTAGGGGTACCCAGAAGGGAGTTTCGTGGTGTAACTTGCGCCATAAAAATTTTTGAGGAGGGCATATTTTGACTGGCTTTTGAATTTTCGGACTAAGGGACAAGGGAAAAAGCATGGAACATACCGCGGCAAGTGTAATTGTGTATGATCTAAGATTGTTCTAATTCTACTTTAGCAGGCTCTGTTTTTAAGAAAAGGTGAGCAATAAAATATCTTAGGAGGAGGGGGAAGAGGGTAACTTCTTGCACCATCGATCTTGGGGAGGATGGACACCCCTGATGATAAGTAACTTATGATAAGCGGAGATGGAGAAGTCTGGTTCAGGGAGAAAATATCTACAAAGTCTTTACTAAGCCAAAATAAAAAATAATTTAACGTTGTAATAAATATCGTGAATACCCATTTGCTTTCTACTTGAATCGTAAGATTGTTCTTGAATATTATACTGTTTGGGCTATATGACCTCGTTATTATTATATATGTTTGGGGGTAGAGGTGACGCCAAACGGTCTTAATATATTTTTAGGCCACCTTTTTTCCCCTCGATTTTAAAGGCAAAGTTTACCAATCTTCAGCCTGAAAACGCTCTATTGTCAAGAATTTAAGGAAACATAAAAGTTTTAGGTTACGGTTAATTGAAGCCATTAGCTAAGTTTTAGACGGATGTTAATAATTTGATAAAAGACAGTCTATACCGCGGACTGAGTTAGTTTTAGTTTATGGATAACTGAAGGTATATTTTCTGACATCTCTTCAAGAACAAGCTAATTATTCATTAAGCAAACTGTTCGTGTTTATCAGGGAAGGGTAAAATTAGAGAGTCCCTATTCCAACATATAACAACTAAAAATAAAGCAGAGATGGGCAAATGATACTCGTGAGTACTGAGTGCGAAATATTTAACTCAAATAATGACCTTTTTTGAGTACCAAAGAATTATTTACTACTTCAGTTGATGTCAAACGATTAACTGAAGTAGTGATTGGTTTCATAATAGTGATACAAATTGAGTAAAATACTTGGTACTTAGAATAGCATTTTCCCCTCTCTCAAACAAAGTAGTAATAAAAACAAACAAATTTCTGGAAAATTTAATGAGGAAAGAAATTTAGTGATAAGTTCATGTTTAATTTATTAACATAATCCCGTCCACGGCTGTCATGGATATTGAACTAATAATTTTGGTACAGAGCTGATTCATGAATCTTCTCTCTTCCTCTTATGGCCCTTTAACGAGTCGTCATGGTTTACTATTCCATATTTAATGAAAATCAGGAAAGATCTTAATGTTCTTGCTGGTCACCCAAGTGAATTCTCTGCGTGAGCATCTACGCTTCAGTAATGGCGGAATCTGCCTAACATCTGAGATATATCGTCAGTATTGCAAGAGACGGCAGCTGTATTGTTTGACTCATTTAATTTAAATTAAATTCGAATGGGAAGTTTTCTGTGTTCCCTTAACAGTTCATATTTCAACACAATATGAAGAAACTACGAAAAAAGAAACCATCTATGAGTAAAAATTTAACTTTTGCAGCAAATGTTTTTGATCTGGCTATGCTCTTGAAACTGTTACTTCAACATAGTAATTATAAAGTATGGAGATTCATCAATTATATGTGTTAAATAAACTTTTTATATAATAATATATTCTTTATAGGAATAAAATTGCTTTCCTAAAATCGTTTATATTCAAAAGTATTAGGTAAAAGAAGGATAAATATCTAATGCGAGAGTTTAAACATAATAGCACCACTTAATTTACAAAATTATTTATTCACTGATCCAAATTATGTTTAAGAAGTTAGTGTAAACGAAAAAAAAAATCATTAAGAAATTTACAATACAGAATAAATTTTTGTTCTAATCATATGTTGTTCCTCTAATTATCGTTATTTTATTTATTATTCAACCCGTCCTTAAAAGACTATTTAAACATCAAATCATATACTTAATTTCTTACAGAGTAATTACCATTAAAAAGAAAAAAAGCTGCTCCACAAAAAGAAAAAGAAAAAAATCCCAAATTCGCTCCTGCCACTAATTGATGTACAGTGGAATCCCTAATTAAATTCGAGGAGGTTCGGATTACAGAACGAGAAGAAATATCAATTCATAAATAAAAAATCTATTTAAAAATAAAAATTATAATGCATTTACATAAACATATTTTTAAAATTATAAATCATTGTTCATAAATTTATTTCTTAACTATTTTCTTGTGAACCACTAGCGGATCCAGGATTTAATTTTGGGGGCGGCTTCAGCCCGAAAGATTTTTTTTCATATACATAACGATAATTAATTTTGAAAAAAAAAAAGAAAGAAATGTACTACCTATATGAAATGGTGTTTAAGTGATTCTTGAAGTCCTATTAAATGTAATTACACGAACAATAATACTTTAAGAGATAGTTTTTAATATTTGTTTTTCTATAAAACATGGTTATATTTTACCGTTTTGGGGGGGGGGCTTCAGCCCGAGAGCCCCTCCTCCCCCCCGTGAATCCGCCTGTGTGTGAACTAAACTGGAATTTTGAAATAGATTATTCAAGTCTCAGCTCGTGACGTGTTTATAATACGGTTTTATTGAATGTATGTGTATACATAGCTTCTACATAAATCAATTTTTTTTTTTTTAATTTTCGTATTATGGAATGGTCCTGATCAGAGAAATTCGGATTAGCGACAGCCCACTACTTTCTACTTCACACTACCTGATCGGTATATAAAAGGCCACGCTACCTGTTGACAAGAGTATGAACTATCAGCATCTTACTGGCATTACTTCCTTTTTATTTGTATTATTTATTACATCTTTATATAAAATTGGCTATAAACATCAATGTATAAAATTAATAATAATATTAATTCATTATACGGATTATTTCAATTGTATTTTATTAACTTGTAAACAGTTTATTGAACTGTTAGAGAAAGAAAAAATAAATAAATAAAATTAATTAATGAGATAAAAAAGTTTCTTCTATAATGAAAAAGTAATAATAAGAAGAATTTTCTACTATATCACTAACCCTGTGTATACTCATTGCATGGTTTCTGTTTCTAACAGATTTTTATGTGAATAGATATGTTTCTTCTTCGTAATCAACAATGATATTAAAGTTTGTTGGAAGTTCCAGTCACAGTGAGAAATACAAATAAAAAATAAATGTTCTACAAACGGTCCGTCCTAAGTTTCAGGTCTTTGTTAAGGCTGAGGAATAGTTCGTGGTACAAACCCCTTTTTATCGAATTATTAACACCTGCCTGAAACTTTGTTAATAATTGCATCTCATTGTAACCTACAACTATTTTGTTTACAAAAACTCTTGGAATTGGGGCGTTTTCAACCTGGAAGGGGTCAAACTTTATCTATTTAATTAGTTACTAAAAACTTGTAAATACTCATTTGCTTTCTACTTGGATAGTAAGATAATTTGATCATGAAATCGATAAAAAAAATGGCCAACAAAAATATTTGGCCGTTTGTCCTATATTATTATTAAGTGGCACTACATCCCAACTATTCGAGACTTGGCCTGCTCCAGCATGGATCTCCAGTTCTCCCGGTTAGTTGCTGCAGCCTTCCAATTTCTGACTCCAAGTAGTCTACATGCATCAGCAGCCACACAGTCTTGCCAGCACAAACATGGTCTTCCCATTCGTCTGTTTCCAAACACAGGCACATTCATAGCTCTCTGTGGAGGTGCATTCATATCCATACGCGTGATATGTCCCGCCTAGCTTAGTCTTGCCAGTACGATGAATTGGCTCACATCCAGGTCATTAAATAATGTATTTATTTCCAAATTCGTTCTCCTCCTCCAATTCTGCAGTGTTTCTTGGACTCTTCCAAATATGCATCGTATAATCCTCCTTTCAAATCTGAACAGGGATTTCTCAACTCCTTTAGTTAAGGTCCAACTCTCACAGCCATAAGTTGAGCACTGGTCTAATAAGAGTTTTATATATTCTTATTTTGGCCTGTCTTGACAACATTCTACTGCGAAGATGTCTCTGGAGGGAGAAATATCACCAATTAGCCACTGCGATCCTCCTGTCTATCTCACAATCAATGTTATTTCGTGCATTTATCAATGAACCAAGATATACGAATTCGTCAACATTCTCGATTCCACGCTGTTCCAGCCATGCTTGGTTTTCCCTTGTTAGACGTGAGGATAGGGTGGAAATATACTTTGTTTTGGACGTGTTAATAATAAGACCGATTTTGGCTGCCGACTCTTCCAGGCTTGTAAAAGCTTTCTGTACTGCCGCAAATGATCTTCCCATTATATCAATGTCGTTGGCATATCCAAGTATTTGGGTCATTCGATTTAGGAGGGTTCCTGTAGTCTGGATACCAGAATCTCTTATGACTTTTTCAAGGGTAAAGTTGAATACCAGACATGCCAGAGCGTCTCCCTGGCTTACACCTGTCAATGTCCTAAACCCCTTTGACAAGTCACCTTGTACTCGTACTAAACACTCATTACTCTCCATTGTCATTCTAACAAGCCTAACAAGTTTTTTTACAAGTTTTACAAGTTTTTTTACAAGTGCAGTGTGGCATGAGTTCCATTGTGACTCGAGGTTTGATTCTGGGACAGAGTTCCTTAATCTGATGTCCAGTTGGTATGAGAATCTAATGCTTGTATCACTGTCCTTAAACTTTTCAATATTGTACCTCTTAAGATATCGTCGAGGCTGGTACTTCACTGTTGATAT